AATAAATGAAAAAATGTCCAATTGCAATTGTTGTGTTTGATGATCTCATTTCTATGGTGTCAAGATCCCAGTTTTTCTTTCTTTTTATCACTTGATGATGGAATTGGATTGAAAATTGGTCATTTTAATGAAATGTATAGAAACTGAAAAAATGAATTATTCTATATGTACATTTTTTAAAAATTTTTAGCTGAAAAACGTATCATACAAGAAAAATGTGCAATATGACATGTCAAATTTAAACTTTTGCTTTCATCTTATCCATTTGAGACAAAAACATTATTGAGGTGTAAATTATTGTAATGGTTGGTTTCTAGTATTTCGAACATTTTCACAATGTGGAATTGTACAAGATCTTAATATGGGACATTTCTGTGCTAAGTTTATGATGATTTTGTTCAAATCATGTGTATATTTAGGCTAGTCCAAAAATCCAAATTTAAATTTAGGGTTGTTCCACTGATACTGTATATATTACATACAGGTTATGGGAAGAGTCTGTGTTACCAGTATCCCCCTTTGTTTACTGGCGGCACTGCTGTCGTTATATCACCTCTTATATCTCTCATGGAAGACCAAGTACAGAAACTTGGGTAAGTGCATGTTACCATACACATCTATTCGAGAGTAATTTTTTAGTTCATAATGAGTCAATGGCGTAAAATATATTCTTGGGTAATAAATAGGTATTTTTTTCTTTGTAGATTGTTAAAAATTCCTGCCTGTTATCTTGGTGGTGGTCAAACTGACACTGCTGGAGTAAAGGCTAGAATTTTGAGGTTTGTCCATTTCTTTATCCACCCATCTATCTGTCTATCCTTCCATCCATGCATCCATCTATGATCAATCTATTTTTCCATTTGTCCGTCTGTCCCTCCCTCCCTCCCTCCCTCCCTCCTTCCCTCCATTTATCTTTAATTTACTAACAGCTGAATTCTTTTTTACAATCTTTCTCTCTCCAGAGGTGAATACCGTGTGATATACCTTACACCAGAGTATGTCTGTACAGATACTGATTTTCTAGCACGAGTACAGGATAACGTAGGTCAGTCTATTTTCTGTAGGCTTCATCATTCTTGTTGCATTGTACTGTGTCTTAGTCAAGTACCCTATACTAGCCCTTGTGGTAGTAGAATGAAACTCTCACATTATTTCTCCTTCTTTATTACATCTAACATCTATGTACAAATGGGTACAGGACTAACCCTTGTGGCAGTAGATGAAGCTCATTGTGTATCCCAATGGGGACATGACTTCAGGTCATCCTACAGAAGGCTAGATTGTATTCGAAAGAAGCTTCTTGGTGTTCCTATAGTAGCCTTGACAGCTACAGCCACACAAGTAGTAAGAAAGGACATTTGTAGTTCTTTGCATCTGAAGAACCCAGTCATGGTCTGTACTGGGTTTGACAGGTATGGCACTGATATCTTTACCTGCTAGTGGGATTCAAGGGTGGGCTAGTGGACTCTGCATTACATGTAAACAGAGTTCGTTAGGTCTCTTCCTCAAAAGGGTTTTTCTCCCAGTTTTTTCCCCACTAAAAGCTAACAAACTTAAATTCCAGTTTAATCTGTGAGTTAGTTGTACCCTAACTTACATCAGCCCAGAGGTTGTTTCATGGTTCAATCTGTGAGTTAGCCATGCCCTGACTTAGATCAGCCCAGAGGTTGTTTCAGGGTTTGATCTTTGAGTTAGTCATGCCCTGACTTAGATCAGCTCAGAGGTTGTTTCAGGGTTAAATAAATTTAAAGGTACTTAATTTACAAGTTCATTTAGTTTAATTACCAATATATATAATATGAGGGCACACAGAAAACCTAGCACAATTTTTCTATGCAAATTGACTGTGATTGTTATTTTTAGGCCTAATCTCTTCTTTGAAGTGCTAAATAAATCGACAAACATTGTTGAAGATCTAAGACAACTCTTGGTGGAGGTCAAAAACAGGTAAAACATGCATGTCAGTCATTCCTTTTCATGAATCCTAATCAAAACCATAATACAGGAAATAAATAGTAATCAAAAAAGGTTTTGTGAAAGCATTTTATGTTTTATGAATTTTAAGGAAAATGAGTCTTTTCTTCTTTTTTTTTTTTAGCCAAAACAACAGAATAGAGTACTCGTTTGGTGGTTCAACAATAGTTTATTGCCCCACAAAGAAAATGACAGAAACTGTTAAAACTGCTTTACTAGGTATGCTGTTATGATGATTTTTGGTTGTTGAAGCTGCTGCTACTGTGGTTGTCGTTGCTGCTGCTGTTGCTGCAGTTGTTGTTGCTGCTGTAGTTGTTGCTGCTGTTGCTGTTGCTGCAGTTCTCATTACTGCTGTTGTTGCTGCTGCTACTATGGTTGTTGTTGGTGCTGTTGCTGTTGCTGCAGTTCTTGTTACTTCTGTTATTGCTGCTGCTACTGTGGTTGTTGTTGCCACTGTTGTTGTTGCTGCTGTTGTTGTTGCTGCTGTTGTTGCTGCTGCAGTTCTCATTACTGCTGTTGTTGCTGCTGCTACTGTGGTTGTTGTTGCTGCTGCTGTTGTTGCTACTAATGTATTCTTTTGTTAACAATTAACTTTCAGGACTTGGTGTTTCGTGCAGGATCTACCATGCTGGTCTTCCCATCAATAAACGACAAGAAGCTCAATCCAAGTTTATCAGAGATGAAGTACAGGTACTTAACGCCATGTGTGCAAGCCTTGAGATAATCTAAACAATAGACCTTATCAGTCATGGTGCAACATTTCCCCATTACCATACATGTCATTCCCAAGAGTATCGTTTCTTTGTTTAATTGCGCACGAGAAGTTATGAATATGGATACAACTCAAACAAAGTATCTTATTCTTAAGGGAATTTCACATGGTCTGGAATGTGAAACATTACGCCACAACAAAATACTAAGAATTGGGTTAGAAATAAGGCATAGCTGAGTTTTTAACCAACTGACTTTGGCATTAAGGTGGAATGTTTTTCAATTTCAAGCCATATTTTTTTAAAAGATAAGTTGTGCTCAAGACAGACATGTTTTATTTTGTAGTGCATTGTTGCAACTGTTGCATTCGGCATGGGCATTGACAAGCCAGATGTGCGAAGAGTTATACACTATGGAGGTGTGTTAAATCCATCAATATTTTCTTCAGTGACATGTGATGGGTTTACCTTAGATTCAACTACACTGAAAGGCTGACTACCTTTGTCAATGCTTTAAAAAACTTGTCAGTGAGGACATATCCTTCTCACACCATCTGGAAACCAGAATTTTAACTTTAAAGTTACCATTCACAGATAAATAAATTGGATAGGGAAACCGAAGAACTAGGGAAAAACCCTTGCAGCACAGCGGAGAAGCAACTAGAATTTTACTGACATTCACCACTGAGTCTGGGAATCAAACCCCAGTCACATTTTAGTGAGAGATAAGTGCTCTCACCACTATACCACCCACAGGAAAAAAGCAACGGATTCCCAAATTGGGAATTGTTGGGAATTTCCTTGAATTCCCAATTCGAACTAGTCTCCCCCACAGCCGCTTTGACGACACTGAAAGTGACTGTGGGGGAGACTAAATTCGAACACCAAGGTTGGGATTTATTGTTGGGTATTTCCTTCTAATACCCAATAGAAAAACAAAATTCCCAACAAACTAACATTGGGAATCAGTGCCACGTTCCCAATTTCGTTCTCTCTGGGAATTGGATGGGAATTCGTTGGGAATTCAAGGACATTTTTTTTTCCTGTGACCCATGCTTCCCATAATTCTATGTGTTTAACAACATTTCTTCTAAATATTTTTATAGCACCTAAGGACATTGAGTCATATTATCAAGAAATAGGGCGAGCTGGAAGAGATGGGTTGGTACTTGGTTACTACTTTAATCTTATTATACCTCATCAAGGAATAGTTGTTACAAGTGCTTTATGTTATTTTAATAAATATGTAAATATTTTTTTCAGTAAACTTCAAGCAAATATTCCTTGAAATATATTTTAGATCCTCCAGGCAGGGATCAAGCCTGATACTCACCTTTGAGCTACAAAGTGTTGGACTTGTGAACAAACTCACTTCCACTCATTGGTGAAAAATAATGAGAAGACAACAGAAAATAACTTACATACAACTTCAATTTTTTACAGGGAAAACAGTACTTGCCATGTGTTCTATAAGACTGGAGATTTTGCTCTTTCTAGGTAAGGTAGTATTTTCCTTGTCAGTTAACAGTCTGAAAGAAAGAAAGAAAAGGAACAAAAAATAAAGAGCCTTCTTGTTATATTGCTAGTCAGAATATTTGATAGACGTTTGAAATGATGATATGATGGTGGTAGTGGTGGTGGTGGTAGTGATGATAATGATGATGATGATGATGATGATTATATAAATGATGGTGATGGTAATGATGATGATGATGATGATGATTGTATAAATGATGGTGATGGTAATGATGATGATGATGATGGTGGTAATGATGATGATGATGATAGTGGTAATGATAATGATGATGATGATGATGATCATAGTTATTCTTTTATCTGCCGTGTAGGCATCTCATCAATGAAACCACTTCAGAGACACACAGACAACATAAGCTAAGGATGCTGAACAAACTGGAACAATATTTAAGCACTACTGAATGCAGAAGAAGGTTTGTATTCTCTTTTATGATACAGATCTGCTTAGAACAACACACTCAATAATTATGTACAAGGACCCAAAGATCTCTATACAAGAATTCTTATACCAATTTTCCTTCTTTTCAACAGAAAAATCTTGGCATATTTTGAAGATGTTGACAAAAATGTTGGCGGTAAAGTCAACTGTTGTGATAATTGTAAAAACAGGTATGATGACACAGTCCTTGATTATTGTACCTGGAAGGCACATTTTATGTTGATATTTTATGACCATCACTGCTCGTAAGGGGCCCTCTTCCATGAAGTTCACTCAAGGTACACTACTTCATTCCTTATTTACAATAGTCAGCACTCAACTTAGACTCAATTTCCAGCCATGTCTATGGTTGCAGTGTGCTCATGATCCTCTGGCTTAGCACAGACATTACATCCTCACTGCTAAAAATCAGTCTGCACTCAAGAGGGAAGAAAAGTCCGAATTGGACCAATTTTGTCCTGTCTTAACATTTCATTCTTCCTTTAAGCCTTCTGAATCCTTCGAGAAAGTCCAACAAGAAAGACTTCGCCAAAGAAGCAAGACTATTCCTCTCTGCTGTTAAGGTGAGGTTCAAGCTTTTTGTCTTTTTGTGTACTTTTCATGTAGTTATTACTTTTATTATATGTTGGTATACTAAAAACTAAATTCATATAACTATTGAAAACAAATTTCATGTTATAGAAAACAATTTTCATTTGTCACTCATTTGCTGAATGAAGCTCAGAAAAACATCTCAGTCCCTGTTAGGAATAAAACCCATGATCTTTTGATACCGGGAAGATGCTCTAACTGCAGGGGCGGATCCAGGGGAGGGGTGCAGGGGGTGCGTACCCCTCCCTGGTTCCACTTTGTGCCCCTACTTCAAAGATAACCAATACTGTTTTTTCCCTTTGACTCTAAGGAGTGCACCCCTCCTTGGGTTAACTTCGTGCGCAGCACCTCTCCCTGAATAAAATCCTAGATCCGCCCCTAAACTGTACCAGTAAGCTGCAAGAAAGACTCATGATGAGTGGTCATTTTTCTTGCACGCTAACAAACCTGATATTAATTTTTTTTATTAAGGCTGTTGGGAGTGGCAAATATGGAATAGGAATGATTGTCTATCTTTTGAGAGGATCTGTAAGTAATAAATAACGCAAGATGGAAGGATGAAATTTTCCGTTATAAAATAACATTGTGAAATGATTGAAATCAGTTAAAGTCAGATGGGTGTGATGGGGCTTTGTGATGTGTGGGGAGGTTGGTTGGGGTCAGGTACAGTGAGATGATATAGGGTGATTGTAGTGGGGTAAGGTAGGGTGATGTGTGGTGTGGTGGATGAGGTGGGGTGTGTTGGGGTGAGGTAAGATGTGATGGGGTCCAGTAAGATTGGCTGGGTTGAGAATTCCGATTAGGTGCAGAATAGTGAGTCAACTGGGATTTGAACATGTCAGATGAGGTTGGCTAATGTTGGGTGATATGACGTAAAATACAGTGAAGATTCTCATTTGTTTCAGACTAACCAAAAAGTCCCTCAACGATTTACAAGACTCAAGGAGTATGGAAGTGGCAGGTAAGCTGTCCTTCGAATAACCACTGTTGTTTAATAATAATAACCTTTATTCCTACACAGAGTCTCGTCATACAATATGCTTTTGGTTTCTAAGGTTACTTGTAAATACCAATATTAGTAGTCTTTTTCATATATAGAGTGGTTTCACAACAGCCATGTTGGATAGCAAAACGATTGAAAATTTCTCCTTTGGGAAATTTATTTGAACAGTATTTAGATATTTTATTATTGTTCTTTTTTTAGTTGTCACAACGAGAAGTGGTGGAAGAGTTTTGGTGAGTAGAAACAAGCCTTACCTAGGGCATATTATGTTTTTTGATTTCAGACCATGTGCAAGTGAAATTTAGAAGATGGTTTTTGTGAAGGTATGAAAACTGGAAAACCAGAAGAAATAACTGTCATCTAGTCCAAGCTATAGTATTTTCTTGTGACAAGGCAGCCATATTGGTGTACCAAACATTAGAAACTTTCTCCACAGTTTTTGCATAAACATAACATGTTCGCTGTGATGTTACATGAAACATGAAAATGCTTTTTGCCTAGCAGTTTATCTTGTGAAGTTTTTTCCAACAGCAAGACAACTAATGACAGAGAATATTTTGGAGGAAAAGTCAAACCCTGGTGGATATGGGAGTCTAACGGCTGTTTCAGGTATGTTAGGATGGCAATAGTACTTGCTAGCCAAGAGAAAATGAACTAAGAGAAGGTATTCCTGCTTGTAACTATCATAGGCACCGTTTGATGCTACTTTTAGAATCGCGCGCTCTACGCTGTTTGCTTACGTTTTTTTAAAAGAACAAAAGAGAACATGAGCAGGCAAGGTAGAGCGTGCACAGTATGCATGTGCAGAAAGACGAACGATCAACTGAATGATTCTAAAAATAGCATCGAAGATTCTAAAAATAGCATCAAAGAGTGCTATGACTCCTCTTAGTTGATATTCTCTTGTGCTAGCTAATTTACATAAACCCCATAATGTTTCATCACATTTGTTTTTAACAGCTAAAGGAGAACGATGGCTTTCACAAAGTCGAAGAGACAGTTCTGTCAAACTAGAATTGACACCATCCAGGGTGAGACATTTTAGCTGTATTTCTCTGTACTCATAACCAGTAGTTGATAGACTTGAGCATAATATTTTCCCACTTCAGACCACTTGTAATTTCTTTGAGAATAAGATTCCTTGTTCAGGTTTTATCCATATTATTTTTGGGTCTTCTCAAGTGCAAAAAAACGATACCCGAGGGAAAACTAAAAGATTTTGAGAATTTTGTAATATCTGTCAGTAAGTTAGACTGTAACATAAAAAAAAAGAATATTGTTATTTCAGTTTACTAGAGCTGTTTTATTCATGTCTCTACAGGATCTTGAATCATTTGAACGTCCATCAACTCCTCCTGTTCCAAGGTGTGTGTCTTAATTCCAATCAATTTTCCTGCTTCCGTAAAAATCAACTACTGGATTGAAAGAAATAGAAATCATTCGCTGCATTCAACGTTAAATATAGTTATATACATCTTACATCTTACATAGGAGTCAAGCACAAAGTATTATGCGAATAAAAGTGGTTTCCCAGAGTTTTGGTGCCGGTTTTTGATGTGAAGTTTACATGGTGCTGTTCTTGTTTCACAGGATCTTACCAGCGTCATCTGTAAATGACTGGAATTACTATTCCTATTCAGTCAGCAACCCTACACCTCAACTGAAAGTACTATCTACACCAGAGCAGCCTGAAGTGAAAGTTATAGATGAAAAGGAACTGGAATTACAAGTATGATGTGAAAATAATCCATATGATGGTGATGATGTATTGATGATGATGATGGTG